GTATTCAAGGTTACTTCTGCAATAATGTGTGTGTGTGTGTGTGTGTATGTGTGGTAGAGAGAGACAGACAGACAGACAGACAGAGACAGAGCTTAGGCCACACCAATTGTATTTGTTGCTTCTCGGATTTGCCATTTAAATTTTTTTGCATAAAAAATTATAATAATAAGGCCAGACCAGAAAAACCACTACAGGTTTTGCTTATGCAAACCTGTAAATATTACCACTATCAGAGACACATGCTGCTGGAAACCAATCAGAGGACTTCTATATAGTCACATGCTAGAGGACTACCAATCAGGAAGCATCTTATCTTCCAATACATTATGGCACCTTCGAAGGTTTTGTTGGGTGCTGGTGTGCACCACTCAAAACTCTTGAACAAAACTTGACTTTTAGTTTTAAAATATGAGTTTCTTTTTGTTTAGAGTTTAGTTGTAGATTAGTTTATAGAGCATGTAGACAGTAGAGGAGATCGATATTTTCTTTGTAAAGCTGAAAGTTTGCATGCCAAATATGACAACAGAAAGCCAGTGGAAAGGGACCTGACACAGCAAACAGTTGTACAGGTTTTTGATGTTGAGTAAGGTTTTTTGTTTTTTTTTGTTAATGTTACTGGCTTATTAAACTTTGGTTTGACATACAAAACAAAAAATTACAATAATAGTAATAAATCCAACACGCATAAATTCAGTCAAGAACAGTATTCTTTATTTGGAATCATATAGATCAACAGATGAGATTCATGGCATAAAATGTGCCATGGAAAGCTGAAAACTTGAATAATCCTATTATCATATATTTTCTGTAAGCTTTGACTTTTTTCCATCTTCTTCTTTTCTTCCCCCCCCCCCTTTTCTTTTCCTGGCTCCAATTGTTTTTCTTTTTTCTTTCTTTTTTCTAAGAAAATCTGAGAAGCAACAAATAAAATTTGTAATGGTCTTAGCATCATGTTTAACCCATTGGAACTGGATGACATTGCAGTCATGTCAAGAAAAAAACTTGAGCCAAGGGGCAGATGATGCGAACCTGCTGTCAGGTAGGCAAATTGGCTACGGCCTGGGTGACTTTCCTTCATGAGCAAAGGTCAGGGTGACAGAAAAGACTCCCACGAGTGCACAAACCTCTTGGAGTGTGATTTGGCACTTAGAAGTGGGCTTTAGCATTATTCCATCGATTAACAAATGTGGAATGTAACGTGCGTAAGCAGTCACTGGAAGAACACTGGCTCAAGGAAGGACACCATTTCCATGCTGCATGCTGTATTCCTGGCTGCTGTGACCAGCAGCGCAGGTTGTATTATATGAAATTGTAAATGACAAAAAAGGAGAAATATGACAGAAATAGCCAAATGTTCCATACTTTATTTTCTTGCACTGAGCTATTTACTACATAGAGAGATGATATGGATTCTGTGCAAGGAAAATAAACTATTACCATCTGGATAAAGTAAATCAAAGACAAATATGGGCATTGGAAAAATGGTGATAAAGCTGAAAAAGTTTACACAAAATAATTTTTCAAAGGGAGGTACAGTCTTGTCACAGTCATGGGTGTTCGTGCGCGCCTGGCCTACGCACCTCACCCCCTGAATGTTAGCCACTTACATAACCCATTGCCCGTGTTTTCAGCAGTGTGATTTCCGTGATGCAACCAGGTCCAAAGGGTTAAAGAAAATGACATTAGAAATTCATTCTATTATGATAATATACCAGGACTCGCAGTATGTAACAATTTGTGTTTTCTTTGCAGGAAATACCAGCACAATGTGAACTCAAAGTATGGTTTTCAAAGGACTATGCTGAGAGGATGGGAACAAGAATACTTGCTGGTAATGTATTTTTTTATTTTTTTTTTATTTTGTCTTTTTGTTGGGAGGTTAAATGATACTTGTTGGATTTTTCGTGTGTTAATTTATAGAGGGGGGGGGGGGATGCAGTAGATAAAACTTGACCTAGCATAATTTAACATAACATAACACATTTTTTCTGCTTCCTTTCCTCATATGTTTTCTTTTCTTTTCTTTTTTTTTTTTTTTTTTTTTTTTGTATTTACTTGTTTCAGAGGAGGGTGTTTCTTGGCAGTTTCGTACTCGTCAGAGATTTCGTTGTCGTGTGTGAGGTTGTGTGAGGTTGTGTTTAGCAGTGCGGCCAGCTTGTCAAATCACCGCTGTTCCCGGGCTCAGATAACACAGAAAGGTGAGACCCCAGCCACTCGGGGCAAGCAGGTGAAGAAAAGCACCAGGAGAGGAGGAAGCAGCCAGCCAACTCCTACGCCCTCTACTTCAGGTAAGAGGTCAAGCACCAGCAGGGTTGAGCCACCCACATCTCAGCCAGAGAAGGCTAAAACCAGTGTCAAGGAGGAGCTGAAGTCGCCCGCGTCCACCTCTGAATCAGAGGAGTCAGAGGTCTTCTCCCTCTCTCCAGAGCGGAGAAGCCCGCGGTCCAGCCCTAGGGGGCGTGGAAGTGGATACACGTGTACAGTTTGCCAAAAGGTTTTTCATAGCCCCGGGAAGCTAAAGCAGCACTCTTATTCACATACGGGGGAAAGACCTTTTTCTTGTGACCTCTGCCATAAGGCATTTTCATCTCGTTTTAAGTTAGTGCGGCATCAGCTAATCCACACGACTGAGCGCCAGCACCAGTGCCCGTCATGTGAGCGTAGTTTTCACCGCAAGGACCACTTGAAGAATCATATACAGATTCATGACCCAAACAAACAGTTCAAATGTGAGAGGCCTGATTGTGGCAAAGAGTACAATTCTTATATGTCCTATAGAAAACATTGTGCAGTGCATGCTGCAGAAGAAGGAGATCTTCAGTGTAAAATTTGTCAAAAAATGTTTGAAACAAAGGCAGACCTTATCTACCACCTTAAGGTTCATGTTGGATCTCGGTCTGTCAAGAGTCCAAGTGAAAAGAAGTTTCAGTGTGATCACTGTGAACGTCGTTTTTTTACCCGAAAAGATGTTAAAAGACACCTTGTTGTTCACACTGGAAAACGAGACTTTAGTTGTACCTTATGCCCACAGAAGTTTGGAAGAAAAGACCACCTAGTTAGACACATAAAGAAAAGTCATGGAATTTTGGACATAAGTCGTATGGAAGGTTTGGAATTGAGTGCTACTCCTGGGTCATCCTCTGCTCCTCAAGCACCATCTCCTAGTGCAAGTGTTGCCTCATCCCCCCCTACCTCTGAACACCAGCAGTTGCCTATGGTACTTTTACCTGAACCAGTAGCAGGTCCCTCGGGCCTTTCTGGCTCAGCAAGTATTTCAGGTGCTACAGGCCTTATCGGAGCAGGGAGTGAGCCAGAGTTCATCACCTCCCACTTCCAACAAGAATTCCGATTGTTTGAAGAGAGCATCAAGGAGGAGCCCGAGCTGCAACCCAGCGTAGAAGAGATTGGCCCAGGGGGAGATGACCTCAGCAAGATGTTGGGGATGTACTTCCCATCAGGATCTATCAACTTGTCGGGAACATCCTTGTTGGAGCCGGCAGCAGCTCAGCGTGCTGAAGTAGAGTCCCAACGAAGCTTACTGGAGTCAGCCCTCTTGCGCATGCCACCCGATGACCAAAAGGAGACTGTGATGCTAGGGCAGGAGGAGAGCTTCTCTAGAGAGTCTCTGCACACCAGATCCCTCTTCTCAGGGTCCCAGAGTGGGGACTTTAGTCAGGAAGGAATGATGTCAGCAGAGCTCCTCTCGGGTGACTCTTCAGGTGTTTCTGGGAGGTCGGTGCATTCCCCAGCAACACCACTGGCCCAACCTCAAGGGAGTGAGATTCCTGCTGTCACAACTGCCGCCACGACCACAAGTGCCGCAGTCACCACAACTGCCTCGCTTCTGCCCTCACTGCCAGGTTTTGACCAAGTGTTCCCATAGTGGATGCGGAATCTGTGATACAAGCAGAGATTGTACCTTGACTTACACAGGGAAGGAATTAAAAGTGCACATGGAAGTAGTCTAACATAAACAGGCAGGGTTCTTGTTTTTTCTTCATCTTCATATACTTCTTCTTTCCTTGTAAGATGATATGAACATGTATGCATGTATGTATGTATAAATAGGAAGACCGTATGCTGAAATATCTAGTGGATTTCCGAAGAGGTATGAAGACCACTGGCATCAAGTCCCTCTCCCCCTTTTTTTCTTCCATTTACTCTTTTTTTTCTCCTTTTATGTTAATTATAGTAATTATTTATATATATAAACCGTTTTTAAATTCATTTTAAGAAAGAAAATGCTTATTTTCATGACCTTTTATGTAGTGCCAGTATTAGTTTTAAGTGTCTGCTGCAATATTGAGTCATTAGATTATTCATCTTCCCCAGGTACTGAAATTTATAGTAACAGAATAAAAATCATTTTTATATTTACCTTTCAAGAAATAGGAAAAGAACTGTAGTTTTCCTGGATGGTATAAAAGTCTCTCAGAAGGTGCTTCCATTCTTATTTTATGAAAAATGAACAGAGAATGGTAACCCAGTGACCAAATTACAAAATGCACTCTAGATATATGTAAGGAGCCCAGTACTGTCATGTCACTTGCAGACAAAGTACCTGATTGGCAAAATCCCAAGTTTTATATTGTATTGCAGTAGTCATTGTGTCTGTGTAGTTCCTGTAGTTTGTAACAACTTTTGTTGTATTTTTTTTTTTTTTTTTTTTTTTCTTTTTTGTGTCCCATGGTTTTTGCTTTTTTCCTTGGATACCTTTTATAGTTTTATTTGCTTAAGATAATTGGAAATATTTTTCTTCAAGACTAAATCCCTCTTCTACCTCTGATAGGCTTAAGGAAGTTTGTAAGGAAACAGGAGTACAAAGTTGTTGGTTTAGGAAGCAGGTGACTGACACTGTCGGCCGTCAGTTATATAGGTCAGGTCAGGTCAGGTCAGGTCTGTTGCCACTATTTTGGAATAAACTTGTATTGTGCGTAGAGTTGATACATATTGTGTAAAGGCAGCATTTTGGGAACACTGTTTCTCAATAATTTTATTTTTCTTATATTGGGAAAAGTAGGTTATGTGTTATTGTTTTTTTTAGCTTATAATAATTTGTAACAGGTAATCTTACCTTGATTGTCATAGATTATAAAAAAATAAGTTTTTGAATACAGTAGGTTATGCTAAAATTTGTATTTAGGAATACATAGTGGAGTATTATGTTACTGGTATCTGATAACAAAGAAATGGGTCTTTATTAAGATACAATCAGGTGGAAAAATAGTATTTTTCCTGGAAAAGGAAGTATGTGTACATGGAATACACACTGACATTTGGAAAGGTAATGAAAAAAATATATCAAAACCTATCGTGTATATTAGCCAGAAAAATATACTAAAGGACTATTAGTACATTTCTCCACATTATGTTATTCACCTGGGAATATCAGTAAAATGTTAGATACACTTTGACTTCCAACAGTTGATGAAAATACACACCTTTTTGTTCCACAAAAACAAAAAAATACTCCCAGTAAAATCAAGGCCTCGAATCTTCCGTAGAGGCACCCAGCCTCAGTCCTCAATTAATGATGGTGCCACACTGAGATATAGTCTACGTTGCAAACACACTTCAGAATGTAGCTGTTAATTTTATAAGGAATAATTATTATTACCTTAATGAAAATATTATGTATTTTGCATTTTTTCTTCTTTCTTTTTTGTAGTAGACTTATTTGATAATTTGTAAGTCCTTTTTAAAAGCAATTTATATTTTTTAGAGAGAGATTACAAAAGTATGCATTATTTAGATGTATTATATCTTCTAAGATTTGTAAAAGAAAATGCACTAGTTAGGTATTCATTCATCTATGAATTTTAAATTTTAAGAGTACTATTTTATCTATGTTTACATTCTTTTATATAATTTGGTAAATATCAGGGTGACATAAGTGTTATGGGCATTACAATAGCTACTACACAAAGTACAGTAGATCTTGTATCCTTTGAGGAAACATTGTCGGGTCCAAAGTTTCAATGTTTTTCATAATGTGTGTTATATTCTCAAATTAAGAGTAAAAAATAGTCAAGACTTTCCAAAACTAAGATGTATTGACTGAATTTTTAAATTTCCTGTTGTACTCAAGTGGTAATTCTTTCCCAGTGACTTCTTTTTAATGATTATTATTTTTTAGACAAGATGTGTAATCTGAGAATCTGACAATTATTAAAGGATGTTTAGGGACAATGCATGCACACAAGATTTTTCTATCTTTCCTCAGGATAACTAAAAGTCCACAAATGTGCTACTTGAAGTGTTGTTTTATGACTCTAAGGAACAAGACAAAAAGGCAGGATAGATTCAGAAAGCATAAGTCGAATGCTGTGTTTAGGGATGTTTTAAGAAAAGAGGCTTTTTTTCGTTCATTTCTTTCTGTCTTTGTTGTCCCTTTGATAGGTTTAGATGCATTCTTCACATGTCTCTACTGTAGGTAAGGTATCTTATGCATTCCTGTTTTTCAGTGGCTAACTCATACTGAAAAAATTGTCATAGTCATTTTATCTTATATTAGAAGATGCAACATGAGGGAGGGTTGGGGAGAAAGAGAGAGAGAGAGAGAAAGAAAGAGAGAGAGAGTAAGAGAGAAAGAAAGAGAGAGAGTGAGAGAGAGAGTGGTATTGAGAAATG